TAAACAATTTATTTCAAAAAAACTTATCTCCATCACAATTAATTTTTGAGTAATGATCGATTTTGATAACAAAAGTACTCAATTTTGACATTATGGGGATTTTCTCTTTATCACTAGAAAATCATTACATCTAAACAAAATCTGTTTACCAATAATATCTTTTTAGTTCATAATAAACAATTTATTCCTAAAAAACTTTTCGTCATCACCTTTCATTTTTGAGTTATGATCGATTTAAAAACCAAAAGTGACATTTTGGGGATTTTCTCTTTATCACTAGAAAATTATTATGCCTAAACTAAATTTGTTTAAGGATGATGTCTTTTTAGCTCATAATAAACAGTTTATTCCACAAATTACGTACAATTTCACAGCCGACTACTGAATTTTCAATGATTTTAAGTAGCATTAAGATACGCGTTTTTAGTTTTTTGAGTTTTTTATGAAAACTACAATGTTTTTTTAAAAATAGTAAGAGGAAAAAAGTTTTAGAATTAAACTCCACATGAAATGAGGTAATAATGTATTAAATCCACAAAAAGGTTAAAAAATCTGCCAAAATTTAGGGAACCATGACCCTTAAACAACCCTTTGAAATGCCCCCTACCAATTAATACCCTCGGTACACTCATAACGTATACCAAATTTGGTTTTTCTAGCTTTATGTATTACGAAGATATTCAATGTTTTAAAAATTTAAGACCCAACTTTGAAGGCCTATAATTCCTCAGGGGTACAACTTGGTATAGAAATAAGTTGCATTAAATCATCTTCATTTATTGTCCTCTACATGTCCCTGCTCTGTGTCGGTTCTTATGTGAATCACCCTGTATAGTATGCAAAACTATTGTAATTTTTGAGATGGAATTTCTTGACCCTGTAATTTTTTTCAATATTTTAACGCGTAATTTTTAAATAATTTTAAAGATTGATTGTGATTTAATATATTACTCTTTTTATGCGAATTCATTTCCTATAAAATATTACTCATAAAAATGAAAAAGGTGTGTTAAAGAATTAAAAATAAATTTGTAAACAAAAAATGATAGCTTTTGAGGAAATACATGAAATAAATACTTAGTTGTTATAAAACAATTATGGATGTATATGGAGTGAAGATGTTATTCATGTTTGTTGTTCAAATAAAAATTGATTTCCTGTCGTTAGTATTCCACTCAACATTTCAAGTTCAATTCGAACGAGATGTTACGTAATTTTTTAAATAATTAATGAGTTTAATATCGAAACCTTGCAAATTGATACTTTTTTGTCTTCAAAATTACTTAAAAAACATGATTTTTTATTAAATCTATTTGCTATTTTCATTCTAATTTTAATCTTTTAGATTATATTTTGGTTGTTGGCAACAATAAATTTATGGTTATCTAGATATTATTAATTTGGAGTAATTTTATTTTACTGTATAGTTTTAAAGATAAATTACTTTCACAATACTTGTTTAATATTGTTTCTAAGCAATTTCTTGATAAAACAGATAAAATTAGAAAAAAGATTAATAGATAAACTATCAAAACGTCACATCCCTTGTTCTTTTTTGTTTCATGTTATCAAAGTATTAAGTCTCAAACATAAATTAAATGTTTTTTTGAGTAGACAAAAGAATTTCTAAATCTAGACGACAATAAGTTAACGTTCAAAAGATTAAGAATGATTATATTTTATTATTGTGTCAAAACATGAATAAATGGATTATTAATTCATTTTTATATTTCTTGTATCATGATTATGTATTTTTTGAGTGTGTTATTTTTTGTACTTTGTTAGAGATGGAAAAGGCAAAAGCAATGGGTTAGTATACCTGGATGACATGCTTCCAATTCGATACCTGTTGGCAGTGGCCACAACGAAATGGCGCTTGCAATCGTGAATACCCACCACCTACACTTGCCTCGTCTAGCTGCTGGTGGTCAGCCGGATTGGGTTGTTGGTGGTTCGTTGGTGAATGCTGTTGATGATGTTGATCAACAACGCTTTTTTCGCCGTCGTTTAACGTAGACGACGATGATGTCACGTAATGAGTCTTCACGTGAGCCAACAACTTTTCTTTAGATGGATCCCTAAAAATAAATAAACACTTAATTTTTTAATTAACCTTCCAATATACGCATTTACAAAGTTACACGTAGCGGACTGTGTGTCCGCAATTACAGATAGAAAAAATCGCCGGGCAAAAGATGGCTTAAGTTGAAAGTTATTAAATTTAAAATTTATTATCCCAATTTTATTATTTACTTTTTTTGTATTAAATCCATATAAATTAACCCATATGCGTGGATTTACTACTTTTATTACTGTTAATGTATTATATTGAACTCTGAACTTGAATTAGAACTAGCACTATAATTTTCTTTAGAAACAAGTTCCAACAGTTTAAAATATACAGCAACTTGGCACTGAATAACAATTAAAACCACAATTAACTTAACACTATCTCTAGAACTAACATTAGACCTTGAATTAAAAACATTCGGGTTTAGCCGTCTTTAGAGATGTACGGCTAAACCCGAAACTTTCTAGTTTTACGTCTAGTGTTAGTTCTAGTTTTACTTTAATAAAAAATATACAAGAATCTACCGTTGAATAACATACACAAAATCCTTGAACCTAGAAATTCTAGAAATAGCCATGTTAAGAGACGCACGGCTAAACCTGAATGTTTCTAGTTCTAGGTCTAGTGTTAGGTCTAATGCTAGTGTTAGTGTTAGATTTAGTTGTTATTCAGCTTTTGATTATTGTATATTTTTCAATTAACTAAAACTAGAATTAACACTAGTTCTTGAACTAGAAACATTCGTGTTTAGCCGTACGTCTCTTAAGACGGCTAAATCCGAATTTTTCTAGTTCTAGGTCTACTGTTAATTCTAGTGCTAGTGTTAGCTCTAGTTTTAGTTGTTCTTCAGCGCTAGATTGTTGTATATTCTTATTGAACTAACATTAGATTTAGAACTAGAATCATTCGGGTTTAGGGCCGATCTTACAAAACAGTTTATACCGCTCCGTATACCAAGAATAACTAAATGTTGGTATAAACACTAGAATAAACGTCTTACAATACCGGCGTATAGCATAAGTAACGGTATACGGCGCAGGATAGCTATACCGTGCATTTCAACGCGAATAGCTTATACTAGGAATAAGTCACAGACTGTTTGAAATTGATTATAATCAATCAGACGTAATAAATATTGTATGAAATGGCTTCTACAAATAAAAAAAAACGTGTGGGATATGCAAATTACAGTTACGAAGAAACAGAATCTTTATTGGGCCTTGTCTAAAAGTACAAGCACATATTAATTTTTAATTTAGCATCAGCAACAGTTTGCACGAAAAAAATCCTTTGCGATTACGATATAATTCCGCATTTCCGCCACCTGGGGACTGAATGCGCACATGGGTACAGTCAATAGCACCTATGACATACGGGAATTTTGCTATGCGATAAAACTGCAACTTAACGCTATCCCGTTCTTGAGAGCCTCAGATTTTGAGGCATAAAAATATATTGTAGCCTTAACGATGCGATTGCTAACGTCACAGCCTTTATGATCTGTCCAGCAGATTTGCTGATGCCAACAAAATCTGCCATTGTAAGGAGCATAGAACCAGAAGCGTAAAACCGTAACGTCAGCAGGGGCTTCATTTCACTGGTAATCGGTTTCTGGTTTCTATTAGTCCTGGATGAGGTTCGCCCTCTAATTTGAATCAAGAATAACGTGGATTGTATTTTTGGTTAACCTAAATGGGATCTTAAATTGATCTTCTGATAAGGTTTCCAAATAATTTACCCTGAGAAGAAGTACATAAGTACAGTCATGTTCACGGGAAATGCACACTCAAGGTCAAGCGCTGTTGTGAGATCCGACATGCCGCTAGCTCGGCTGGCTAAACGGGTTGAACAGAACACCTACGAGCCACGAGCTTCGTGTGCGCTCGGCTCAGCCCGTTTAGCCAGCGGCATGTCGAATCTCACAACAGCGCTTGACCTTGAGTGTGCATTTCCTGTGAACATGACTGTACCTAGAGTAATTGTAAACGGACTAGTAATAAGGCACTTTTAGCGTATTTTAGATTGTTTCGCACGTCTAAATGACTAATCTCGTCATCATTATCGGAGTTAAACACATCTACGTCCACATTCATATTCGTAAGGACGTAAAATGAAAATGAAACAGAATAATGGTAAACACCGCTGATCAATTTGACGCTAAACGTAAACAACGTAAACAAACCACATGCGCACTGCGCGTTATACCCACAGTATTACCAACTTCAACCAACCATTGCAATAACTATTCTGGCATAAGAAAGACTTTATAAGACGCATTCGTTAAATTAATACCGAGAATAAATTATTCTGGGAATAACTATTCCACTGATTATACCAATACTTGTAAGATTGGCCCTTAGTCGTATTGAGAGATTGTTTCTAGTTCAAAGTCTAGTGTTAGTTCTAGTTTTAGATCGATAAAAATAACAACCTAGCGCTGAATAACAACTAAAACTAGAACTAACACCATCACTATCACTACAACTAACACTAGACCTTGAACTACAAACATTCAGGTTTAGCCGTGCGTTTTTTAAGACGGCTAAACCCGAATAATTCTAGTTCTAGATATAGTGTTAGTTATAGTAACAGTGCTACTATAAAACCTGACGCTGATTAACAACTAGAACTAGAACTAGCACTGTCACTAGAACTAACATTAGACCTAGAACTAGAAAGATTCGGGTTTAGCCGTACGTCTCTTAACACGGCAGATTTTAGGTACAGTGTTAGTTCTAGTTTAATAAAAAGTAGTTCTGTTCAAAACTTCACTAAATACGCCTCTCAACAATATCGAATCTTTATATTCATTTATGTATTGTCATTTGAAACAGCTAGCCATAGAAATTTTAATTACACTGACTGATAGTCCGGGAACGCGTATTGAAAGATTAAAAGATTCCTTCAAATTAAAATAATGACAATGTCTTAAGTGTGATGATTTAAATTTACAATAAAAAGTTTCAAATAGTATTTCATTCTCGAATTAAATCTCACAAGTAGCGAAATAGCTCAAACTGACGCCTACAAGATTTTACATGCGGCCAAAATTTTGGGCACAGACCGTCGCATTGAATCACTCTGACTTAATCACCTTGGTATTCTTAGAATAAGAAAATTTTCAAGAATTTTCAACTTGTTATACAACAATCAAACTAAGAAAATTATCTTAAACATAAAAAAATCCAAAGACTTTGAGATGATTTGATATTGCAAATGTCAAAGAAATGATTTTATATATACTAATGATATAGTAAAGTGATGAATTATGTAAAAGTTAATTGACCAACATAAAATTTGATACAAGGTTATTTAATTTTTTTTTATAAGTTTTAGTACATTATTAAAATACTTCTTTTGATCAATTTATAAAGAACTCGGAAATGGTTACGTGGCAAATTTGACGACGACACAAAAGAAAATACTTGTCATTGTTATTTTTGCTCAGCGTCGAAAAGTTAAATACGAATACTTGACTTTCGAAAAAATTCCATTTGGAATACTGAATTTTTAAAAAAAAGTGCAACAATTACCGCATACTTTCGATGTGTTATCTCAAGAGTTCGACTATTTGGAATAACCAACTAAAGAAGCTTTGCAGTTTTCTACACAGAACTAGAAAATATTCTAAATAACATACGCGATAACTTTTCAAACCATTTTTCTGCTTTTTTTCCTCGATTTAACATTGATTTCACCTTTATACTTTTCATTATTATTATTATTTTTTTGTCGTTGCAAAAAATAATAAATGGTTCTCGTTATCTTTACGTTCATTTCAACATTTTTTTTTAATAAAATTTTTATCGTATTATTTTTCATCTTAAGACACCTTATCTTTTTATCTTTCATCCATGTAAAGAGAGAGATTAGCTAGAAGAATTTCTTTTTAAAATTAAAAAAAAAGACTTCGTAAAAGCCACGTACTTATGAAAGTACTTAAAAAACGTTATTTTTATTTGATATCTAAAATGTTTTTAATGCATTTAATCATTTCGTCCTTTGTTACTCAGACTTTTTTTTGATGTTATTTTTCTTGGAAATTGCGAAATGACAATAACAATTAATAAGAAAAAGGGGAAACGTTTTAATTTTTATAGATTCTTATCGGATTTCTAGTAGTATCAGATTCTTGATTGGATTTCTGATCAAAGTTCGGTATAGCGTTAAAGACGGTCAACCAATGAATGTGTTGCGTCCCCGACCACGACGACGACCACGTCGAGAGTCCGAGCATAATTGAGGTGACTATTAAAATTTATGAGGACCTTGGTATAAGTACGCACTATTCAAATTACGTTTAATCGATAGACTTTAATAGTTTTTTTACACTTCTTTCTTTTTTAAATATAAGTAGTTTATAGTTATTAAAAGTTAAAAAAAGAAGTAAATTGCACAAGATTTTTTTGTTATTTTTTTATAATTGAAGAAAAAAAATTAATTGTAATTGATGGAAAATTTATGGTAGCTTGTCCTTTTTATCATATTTACAAAGATTTTAAAACTGACAGCTAATATGTTAAATATGTTGACACATTCCGCATGAAAATAGAATTAAATTCCACCCTTAGAGATAGCGACATTAAACAATGTTCTTACATACCGTGCCTTCAATTAAATTTATAATTATTATATCTACAATGTCAAATACTTATTGAGAGCTAATATTATAATGTCAGTTAAAATAATTATTAAATTTATTAATACTAATAACTGACTGCACAAATACACCTCCTCTAGTTGACAGAACACTATACAGGGATGTAATTCTTTAGTAAATTTTAAAAGTACTTTAATATATGAACCATGGGCGACTTCGGCTCCCCTCAGGAGCTACGCCACTCCAAAAATGGGGGAACATTTTGGTTGAATCTTTTTTTCTCAAAAACCATAAATATCAATATTCCCTTCTAAGTTACTAAACGTAACCACCCTCGTTCAATTTTTGTCTAAATTTTTTTTATGAAGGTGATAAATACATTGGAAAAATTTTATTTAGATAGATGAAAATATTCTAAAACTTTTTTGTCTCTCTGATGTTTTTCGAAAATTTAATAATTTTTGAGAAAAAAATTACTTAAGCAAACACTAACTGTTAAGCTGTACTTTATTCAAAAATTAATTTAGTTTAGTTACTAGAACGTTAAGTTTAGTAACGTTTAGTAACTTAGAAGGGAACATTGAAAGTACAAATAAGCTAGAAACGTGCCCTATTATGAGCTAAACTTATTCTCCAAATTTCATTTTCCTGGTGTTTATAGTTCTCGAGAAAAAAAAATTAAACCAAAATTTTTCGCCATTTTTGGAGAGGCGTAGCTCTTTAGGGGAGCTGAAGTCGCCCATGGTTCATATATTAAAGTACCCTTAAAATTCACGAAAGAATCACCCTTTGAAGCTTGTTGCAGTCATTCAGATACACCCTGTATAAGGTGAAATATACAGAGTGTGTCAAATGTCTGGAATATAGTCAATAACTTCGCCATTTGTGGTTTTAAAGAGAAATGTTTCAAATAAAAAATTCTTTATTAATTGTAGCGTATTTTTTGACGATACTTGCTTCTTTACATTGTTCTTTGTTCTTTGTTTTGTTGCTATGGCAACCAACATTGTTATTTTAAATGGTATGCAATTTTTTTTTTGCATACTTTTATAGAGGATAAGTCCATCTATGCGATGAACATATCAAATCATATGGTTGTGATTGACTGTCAATTTTTTGACATTTAAAGCTGTCAACGGCGTTATTTCGGCACCTACTTTGATTGTAATTAGCTAATTTAAGACTTTCAAAAAACGCATTTTTTCTCGATTTTTTTCTTATACAACCATATGATTTGATATGTTCATCGCATAGAGGGACTTATCATCTATCACAGAATGCAAAAAAAATATATGCATCTTAATTAAAATAACAAAAAACAATACAAACAAGCAAATATCGCCAAAAAATGCACCATGATTAATAAAGAAACTTGTATTTGAAACATTTTTTTTTTAAAACCACAAATGGCGTAGTTATTGGCTATATTCCAGACATTTGACACACTCTGTATATAAAAATTTTGACATAACATTCGTTAAGCGACCTCGACTTTATCAAATGAAGTTGCACCAATATGATGACCAGTTTCAGGTTAATATAATATTTATCAGCAAGCCTCGGATTAATTAAAGCAGTTACAAGTTCATCTTATAAATCTGAGGTTCACTGTTTAACATTATAATATCAACCGGAAACTGATTGTCATATAGGGAGCCATCAATAGCAAGCTGCCTCGACTTTATCCTGTGAAGTTGCACCAAAATGATGACCAGTTTCAGGTTGATATAATATTTACCAGCGAACCTCGGCCGCAAGCGACCTCGACTTAATTAGTCAAAAGATTTACAATTTCTCCTTGTAAAACCGAGGTCGCTTGCAGCCGAGGATCAGTGTTTAATGTTATATCAACCTAAAACTGATCATCATATTGGGAGCCCTCCGTTGCAAGCGGCCTAGATTTTATCAGGTGAAGTTGCAATCAATATAATGACCAGTTTCAGGTTGATGTAATATTTATCACTGAGCCTTGTCCACAAGCAACCTCGGTTTATTTTATCAAAAGATTTACAACTTCACATGATAAAACTGAGATCGTTTGCGGCCGAGGCTGAGTGATTAACATTATATCAGCCTGAGACTGGTCATTATATTGGAGCGCCTCGGTCGCAAGCCTTCTTGACTTTATCAGGTGAAGTTGCACCAATATGATGACCAGTTTCAGGTTAATATAATATTTATCAGCAAGCCTCGGATTAATTAAAGCAGTTATAACTTCATCTTATGGTACACTGATTGAGGTACACTGTTTAACATTATAATATCAACCGGAAACTGATCGTCATATAGGGAGCCATCAATAGCAAGCTGCCTCGACTTTATCCGGTGAAGTTGCACCAAAATGATGACCAGTTTCAGGTTGATGTAATAATTAGTCAAAGGATTTACAATTTCTCCTTGTAAAATCGCGGTTGCTTGCAGCCGAGGGTCAGTGTTTAATGTCATATCAACCTAAAACTGATCATCATATTGGGAGCCCTCCGCTGCAAGCGGCCTAGATTTTATCAGGTGAAGTTGCAATCAATATAATGACCAGTTTCAGGTTGATGTAATATTTATCACTGAGCCTTGTCCACAAGCAACCTCGGTTTATTTTATCAAAAGATTTACAACTTCACATGATAAAACTGAGATCGTTTGCGGCCGAGGCTGAGTGATTAACATTATATCAGCCTGAGACTGGTCATTATATTGGAGCGCCTCGGTCGCAAGCCTTCTTGACTTTATCAGGTGAAGTTGCACCAATATGATGACCAGTTTCAGGTTAATATAATATTTATCAGCAAGCCTCGGATTAATTAAAGCAGTCACAACTTCATCTTATAAATCTGAGGCTCACTGTTTAACATTATAATATCAACCGGAAACTGATTGTCATATAGGGAGCCATCGATAGCAAGCTGCCTCGACTTTATCCGGTGAAGTTGCACCAAAATGATGACCAGTTTCAAGTTGATGTAATATTTATCAGCGAACCTCGGCCGCAAGCGATCTCGACTTAATTAGTCAAAGGATTTACATTATTTCCTTGTAAAACCGAGGTCGCTTGGTCAATATAATGACCAGTTTCAGGTTGATGTAATATTTATCACTGAGTCTCGGCCACAAGCAACCTCGGCTTATTTTGTCAAAAGATTTACAACTTCACCTGATAAACCTGTAGTGTTTTTAACTTTCAATAGTTCAATATATCAAATATTAATAAACTATTAAATTATCTACCCCACCAATCATTTATAAAAAACATAACAAAAGAATTTCTTGGTGAATTGGACGTAATTAAAAAATGATAAGTACTTATTTCTTCACCTAACAAAATCTATTCAAAAATTAATTTTCTTTTAAACTTTTGTTGCCCTGATAAAAAGATAATAACCTACTTAAGATATATGAAATTCAATTAAACATAAAAATTATACACAATCAGTGTAGTAACAGTATTCTTTGCCATTTTTTCAATTTCAAAACAATTATCTTTCAAGTAGCAAATTTAATTTTCTTGACTACCACTTCAATCGCAAAATTAACGAAAAACACAAAAAATAATATTGATAACTAATTCAACATAACTCTACCTTAAGGGTTAAAATAAAAAATTGGATGATTAAAGCTTACCTGAAATTACATTTTTTGCATTGCCACAGCGTCTTTTTATTTTCCGATCCATTCTTCTTCTTATCATTACCATATTTATAGAGATCAGCTGCCGATCTAACCTTAAGACTAGGTACTGGCCTGGTAGTTTTTTGTTGCTGTTGAGCAACGTTATTAAAATCATTATTATTAAAAAAACTACTATTGTTCGATGATGTTCGATGATGATGGTTCAATCTCGATACATCCTTTTGATTGTTGTTTGGTAACACTTGACTAGGACTTGATTGGTCATGGTGGTGATTCGATGAGGATTTTGGTCTTGTACCTGATCCACCACTGGTTTCGTTATCACCTCCGACATTGATCTCTGTCAAATACTTATTATATTTGGTGTAATTTCTCCTTCCGGTTTCGTCGGTCATTAAAACTTTTGCTGATTCATGGGCCGGATCACGAACAGATTTTAATTTAATATGTTTTGTAATATCCCATCGCCAATTTGAACGATACGAACACAAGGAACACTCGAATGGTTTTTTATTTAAATGACCAACTATATGAACGTGAAATCTTGAAGCGGTCGACGCCCAAAATGTGCAATGCGGACATTTAAAAACTCTTTTATGTTGGGCGATACTAATATCATTACCGTGAGTTGGAATTTTTTCAGTTGTTGTACTGCTTGGTGTTGCTACGTTTGTTGTTGGGGTTGTTGATGGTGTTGGAGTAGGATTACTAGGTTCAATGCTCAAAAAACTATTTTCACTATTCGGCGATTGAGTTCTAATCGATAAATCTAGGGAGATATTATCATCTTGTTTTTCTTCTATGTATTCATATTGAATATCTTCATTAACATCTTCACCTTGTATATCAATATCCATGGGAACTTGAATATTATTCCAAACGAAAATTCGATTTTCCATAGGATTATTCTCATCTTCATCTTTTAAATCTTCAGATTCTCGCAAAGATTTCGCCGCTTCCCCACACGTTTTTAAATGATTAATGAGATCTGTTGACGATTTGCATCGCTGCCGACAAAATTGACAACGGGTTGAACTTAAATTGTGTCTTGGAATTGGTGACGATGTATTATAAGGGCGAGCTTTATTGCCGCAAATTTTTTTATGGGCATCTAATTCGGTTAGGCACTTACTTTCGTGGCCACAATGATTGCAACGAAGATTCTCAGCGGTCAAATTCGCCTTGAATTTATCAAAAAACGAAGAGTTTTTCGATTTTTTCTTGGAAAACGATGATGTTGGAATTAAATCAGGAATTTTTGGCGGTGTTGATAACTCTAAGTGTACATTTTTAAATACATCACTATCGATCAATGAAGCGAAATCTTTTAAATCACTGTTAATTGATTTAGCACAGATATCGTTGATGTCTTTTTGTGAGTAAATCGGTTCCGGTGGAATTGGTAACGTACTCATGTTGGTTGGTTGACAAAATTGTTGGGGAACTTTCGATGGTTGATGTAGAGGTATTAAGTTCGGTAAGGGTTTTGAAGTTTTTTTCTTTTCGGAACGAAAAATGTTATTGTTATTATTATTTCTCACTATATTATGGACTTTTTCTTCGTGTTTAGCCATTTCACCGTCCCACGCAGACTTGTAATTGCACAATTTGCACTTGTTCTTGATATAAATCTGCCCATTGGCGTGATGGATAATATCCTCCGGGTTGATAAAATCGGAACCGTAAGCGTTTGCCTGCCTCGACTGGTGATGGTCGGTGGCTGGCTTTGATTTTTTCGAGGATTTCTTCGAAGTCTCCACCGTAATGTTACTGGTAGACGTTGTTGTCGTTGTTGACTCGACCTGCTGAAGAAATTCGTTTTGTTTTAACACCTCGATAAACACATGACGTCTCTCTGAGGTAATCGTTTCGCGTACTTGCCAAAACGAAAAAGTTAAATTCGTACCGACCGCGACGGAACCGACTTCAACACTACGCACACATCAACCAGATTCTCTCAAAAAAAAGGAGGAGAGAATATTGTCGAAGCGCGCGTTTATCATCAAAAAAATATATATAGATAAGGTAGTAGGTAAGTAGTATTATGGGAACGTTGTATGCATTTGGGAAAACTTACCTGTGGTGATCCCTCCTCGTTGGCCATAGTATCGCTGGCCCCCACCTTATTTCTACGTTTCCCCACGCCGATTCCTGCGGCTGCTTGGCCTACAGGAGGCACGTGATGATTCATTTCGTGAACCGTCAGACTCTGCTTAATATCCGCCGTAAAGTTACACGCGGAACAACGATAAATGCCCGTACCGTTGTGATTTTTGCAATGACGATCCAGGTTCCATTTGTAAGGCGTTTTGAAGTCGCATAAATCGCACTTGATCATCGGCATCGAATGGTACTTGGTATGTTTCGTAAATCGGGCCTTTATCGGTGTTGTATACGAACATTTTGAACACTTGAAAAATTTCGATTTAATTTTCGTCAGGTGTTCATCCTTTTCATGCTTATTGACCGCATTTTGACTCTTTGATGTAAATGTACAATGGGAACATTTAAATTTTGTCTCTTCATCGTCATTTTCTGAGTCGTCTAATTCTTGTTCTGAATCTTCTATATTCCTCTTCTTACCTGGTTTAAAAGTTATCTAATTTTAATTGTCAGTACAAAATAAAAATGTTAATAAATTTATTCTTGTTTAGCATACATAATTAATTAATTGAATAATAAGTGGCTACGCTCAACTTTCTCATATTTTTAGATAACAACGATAAATTGGCAAAATTTTCCATATTAAATCCTGTATCATTTGACAATTTTCTTGCGATTGCTTCGGTCAAGTAACACAACCTTTATTTAATTGAAATCTTATATCTATATGGTTTTCATGATTATAATTGTTTATGCAAAATTTGATTCATTTATCTAATTACAGTAGACAAGGTTAGACATGCGTTCAAGTAAAAAGTATAAACTGTGCTTTTATGAGTGAACATTGTAGTAATAGTAATTTATATGCTAAAGTCTGCGAAATTTAATTTACAAGCCCTGACAACTACAGGGCTATAACGCGAAAGAAGATTGAGACTATCAGGAAAACTGAGAAGCAAAGCAATATGCAACTGATCAGCATGAATCAATGGATAGATTATTACGAAACATTGTAAAACGAGGATCGTACAGAATTCGACGTGCGTGACATATACAGGTGTCCCGAAACTCAACGCCAACCCATACCTGCTCTGGTAAAAATAAAGAAAAAAATTCCTTGTCTATTAATTAAGTGGTAATAGACATATTTTTAAAAATATAAACAATCGTTCACGTAGATCATATCTTTAGGTACTACGGTCAAAAATTTTCACAATTTAATAATAATTTTTTTTTAATAATGTAATCTTTATTAACCCTGCTATTATAGAAGTCACCAATGAAACAATAAAAGTCGTTAGTTTTGCGAAAAAAATATTGTGTTAAGGTTGAATAAATTGATGACTATTAAACTTGACACACCTTTTCTAAAAAAAGGAGTAGTACAGCACCCTTGGCAAGTAATCTTAAAAGATGGCCTGTTTAGTCAAGATTCCAAAATAGTGCAACACTTGCCATTTTACTTTTTATAAAAAATATTATTGCCTGTTTTTCGTCAAAACACACGTTGTTTAAAAAAATTATATTTTCTTATGCTATTTGTATTTACTCCAAATTAATATACCAACTTTGGAAGATGTGCCACTCAATATCTACGGAGAAATGTGGTTTCAATAAGAAAGAAAAAATGTGTTATACCATTTTGGAATCTTCACTAAACTTCTTTTAACGTTACTTGCCAAGGCTGCACTGCTCTTTTTTATAAAAATCGTGTGTCAAACTTAATAAACAAATTTTTTCAACCTTAACTCAATCAAACTAATACCTTTTTCGTAAAACTAACGACCGATTTGCGACGTCTATAGCAGCATAGTTAATATAAGTAGTTATTTATAATGTAGTCCTTACATTATAAAAAGAATCACTATTAAATTGAGAACATTTCTGACCGTAGTACATAAAGATATGCTGTACGGGAACGATTTTTAACATTTTCAAAAATAGGTAATGTCTATTACCATTAAACTAAAACCAGAACTAACACTAGACCTAGAACTAGAAACTTTCGGGTTAAACCATGCGTTTCTTGAAAAAATATTTCACGTTTCGGATGCCAAGTTGCAACCTTCTTCAGACACAAGTTCGAAGTGAAAGGTTAAAACCGAAAGTTTCTAGTTCCAGGTCTAGTGTTAGTTCTAGTGAGTTCTAGTGATAGGTTGGGTTGGCCTCTCAGGCGGTACCCGCTTGACGTTGACTTTCGGGACAGCCTGTATATGGATTATCAACAAAAGTCTTAAAAAAAGTAATAACTTGTGTTTCTAAACAATTAACAGACATTTTCAATAAATGTATCAAAGAGGGAACTTTTCCAGAAGAACAAAAATACCAGAAAATTATTAAATTAACGTAGAAGAAATAAGGGCTGCTCTAAGAGAATCAGAAAATGAAAAAGATGTCGGGCCTAAAAACATCACCATTGAACTGGTAATATTCCAGAAGATTGGAACTTAGCCTATGTCACATCAATCTTCAAAAAAAGAAACTAAAAGATTGTGACAAAATTAGCAGACTTGTACCTCAAGTTTTAATAGTGCAGTGGAGTTGTATGGCAAAGTCTTAAAGAATAGGATGAAATGCAATGGGACGACGTGGAAGAACACAGTAGTTTTGGTTGAGGAAGGTCTTACACTGATAATATTTTTTTGGATCCATCCAAACCAGTCTACCAACCCTTTTCTTTACTGATGACCAAGTTGTAGCAAGTTAAGAATATTGACTTTATGTTCACAAAACTTAGGAAAAAATCGAAAGTGAGGAATAAGTGTTATTATAGATAAGGCAGAATATATGGTAATACGAAATGACATAAGTGATCCTGAGTTACAGATAAACAACAAAATAGGAAGGCGGTGTAAGGAATACAGATATTTGGGTAGCATAATTTCGGAAAAAGGAATATCTATTAGAGATATCCAGAACAGGATGCAATAAGGTCGAAAAAGTGTTTGTATGCTAAACATTTTGTTATGGTCAAGTCGATAATTTATTATAGTCAAGTAGAGCCAATATTAATATACAGGTCGGAATGCAGCTTTTGCAGTCATCGGAGAACTTACTACGAAAAGCAGAAAACAACTTGAAATTAACACATTGCATTAACACTGGCATATGTCCGAAATGAGGAAAATAGGCGACGAACGAATAGGATATATATGACAATTGATGGGGTGGAAACCAAACAGTTGTATCTCAATATAGAAGAAAGAGAAGTAGACCAAATACATCTTGTATTCGAGAGATTAGAGAGGCTATGACTGATCGAGTCTTTCCGAAAGAGGAATAGACATCGAAATGTGGGATGCAGCAGAGGCTGTAGAAATTTCTGGTGTCTCTTCTATTATATCAAGATCAGTGTTACACACTTTTTATTTGTTCACAAATTTAAATAAAAGGCATGAAATATATTTGGTGTCAGAGGTTACATCATCTTTTTTTTTGTTTTGAAACAGCCAAAGTTGTTCATTTTCTGTTCATGTTGAAAATAAATTCAGAGCATTTCATTTCATCAACTACAAATTTTTTGCTGCTAGATTTTATTAATTGTATCCAATCATGTGGATGATAGATCTCTAACTTGTTTTCTTTTTTCTCATCTATTATCCTGTGATCGGTGTGTGCTTCCAGGTAACTATATCCGGGAATTATGAACTTATGAAACTAATTATTAACTCTATAGATGCCAGTCATTTATTTTAGTGTAAATATTGAACTCATATGGGAATTTATATTTTGACCTCCACATGTATTAGAATATAGTACAACATGTTTCGTGTTGGAAGGAAAGTATTTTAGCTTGCTTGTAAAGACAAGATGCATTCCGGTTTGCTCGTCGTCCAACAACTGTGTCATCCTATACAGATACAGCACCTCAAGTTTTATTGCTACGATCCGTTAGTTTAAATATCCAGAGCTGACGTTTATAAAACTCATCTGAGGAACTTAAAGCTGCTGAAGGTAAAGATTTCAAGTATGAATGTGGATCTAATCGTTTTTCCTCATAGGCTTCATCAGCAACTATCTTATGCTGGTCATACGGGGCAACTAAGTCAGCTTTAATATTCTCATCATTGGCGAGCTGTATTTTCATTACAACAGTCTTATCACATATGAAACAAATTGAACTAAAACTAGCACTAACGCTAGATCTAGAACTAGAATTTGTGAACAATGCGGCTCAAAAAGTAAAAACTATAAGTAAATACCAAATAAACTTTAAGATCCGTACATTTACATACAAATTATGCAAGATGCTGTTTAAACGGTAGATAATTGTATTAAAAATATACTGGAGGATTGCCAACGTAGATCGAATGAAATAGTTTGAATAATTAATTAGGGTTATTAGACGTCCGTCGGTTGTGAACCGGGAATACATATTAGGAGTAGACAATAAATTCAACGAAGTGTGTGGTGAGGTAGTGAATAATCCAAGACTTTAAAAACTTCCTCGCCAGTTATATTGGTCTAGAAGGAAAACAGAGAATCAAATATTCTTCGGTAGATGTTTCAGACAGATATGTCTCGCAGATGAGCAATATTGATCTGGTTTTACCCATATTAATAGGGTAAGCACTAACTAAAATACTCGAATAGATTTTATAATTCCTAAAGTCCTCACCTTTGGATCGATTTTCCAAATCTAAACGCGTTTAAGAGTTACATCGGACAAGGAAAGCAATTTCAACCAGCAACGGGGTTTAGAAACAAACGGCCTTCGGCGGATTTCATAGAAGAACTAAGACGATATTTCCAAAAAATACAATAAGTTCTCATAATTAGTAGTGAACATAATGCATTGCTATTCTACTGTAAGATCAATAATATTTTTGTCAGTTGAATCCTTCTTCTTTTCACGTTACAACTTCTGATGGGTTTTAGCCTGCTCAATGATCTCCTTCCAATTTGTCCTCTCACCAGTCAATCATCTCCATCTCCTAACTCCCATTCTTCTCAAGTGTTCAATCTGCGCTTTCCTTGTCGTCCTCTCATTCTCATCCATTTGAGTCTCCTCCTTTCAATGAACCTGACAATATCGTCACCATCTATAGATTGGTTTCTAATTTCTCATTCATTCGTAACTTCCAGAATCCATCCTCATTTTGGGAAGTTCTAAATATTTTCGACTTTTCGTTTAAATGCCCTCAGAAGTTGTTCATCTGTGGCTGTTAGAGCCCAGGCATCACATCCATATGTTCTCACTGGTCTAATCAGGTTTTATACTTGTATATAGTTAATTTTATAGGTTTGCAGTTTCTCGTAAGCATATCCCACACGGGATCTTAATTAATTACTGCATTAGCCCTTCTGTGTAATCTGTAAACCTAGATAGGAGAACTATTGTTGTACTCTTTCAAACCTGTAACACCGATTACTCCTTAACATTTCACTGTATGAAAAGTCGTTATGACGTGTAACACGTAACTTTCCATGCCAGGGCAAACAATTTAAATCTTAATTTCTAAGGGAACTGGACGCAATAGTGGCAAAAAAGCATTTCCGGATGAGCGTTTATGATTTAACTGAAAAAGAGTCTGTGGAGATTTTTCCTTCAGGTTATACATGAAAAGCACTAGACAACAAGACATTTATCATGGAAGAGAAAGCCACGAGAACCATTGACTCAGTCAAGGCAAGTTAAAATCTTGCAGGAACCACAAGTCGTGTTCATTGCATTATCTTTCATCAAATATAAAGTGCTGAATATAAAATATCCAACCTAACAATTTCTGCCACCCTTTAGGCTATTAATACAAAAACAAAGTTTACACAAAATTGTAATACAACACGTGGCATTTATTGATCTCAATTTAAAGTGCCAATTTATCTTAATTTAAACTTTGTATGAAAAAACTGTGTATATGATCACTATGATCAGATAAAGTACCACTTCCGGTTGACTTATTCAAATTTCATCATCTCATTCCGTTTTTGATTTATCGTATATATATACATACTTAACTATACATACATTACACTTACAATTAGACATAATGATATAAATAGTCGAAATAAATCAATGTCGTATTCACGAGAAAGTAAATTTAAAAATTTTTATAAACTGTTATGGTTAATCTGAATTGACAATTATTTAAATTTTTTGCCAACCTAAAAAAAATAAAAGTTGCTAATTTCATAAAAAAAAATTTAAAACCGTTATTATTTAATCCATTTAATTACATTATATTTTTAAATTTATTACTTGACGAGTTATTAACTCGTTTAAAATTTTAAATATAAAATGATTATTAAATTGACATGTTTTTTTATTAGAAACATAAAAATATTTTTAAAATAAGGTTATGTTTACGTTGTTATTTCTAATGTAAACATGTTATAGCGTGATACAAATTTGTTGATTTTTTAGTGATTCTCATTTAAAAGCTCATACTTAAATAACCGCCCATTATATTTCAACTCAGCATAAAACTAACTCTAAATTAAAACAGTTTTTTGAAGATAACCCAACTTTGTAAGTTTTTTTTTAAATATTTTTAGGTTAGAATTTAATTTAAATCAATCAATATTTTACTTACCTCTTGGTAATTCAATACCATCGGCGCTTCCGTGCACCATTTTAGCGTGCCTCAATAACTTTTGATAATGTTTCGAGGCGTATAAACAATTCGGGCATTCATAAATCTTCACCTTCTCTTTGTGCACGTCCCTGAGGTGATATAAAAAGTTTCTGGGGTTCTGCGTGAAATAATCGCAGTTCGGACAACTGTAGTTTCTTTTAATTTTACACTCGGGTAAATCCTCAGCGGCGACAATTTCCGCGAGTTCTTCACCGTCATCCGCATCTTCAGCAACCGCCGTTCCGAAGAGTGCATCTCCGCTAACGACGCTGCGTACCACCAAAGAGTCACCCGATCGGTGGACCATCGATGGCACTGACATCTTCGAATCGGATGCTCTATAAGCAAAAAAAAATGATTATAATAAATTATTTAACACTTCTTCTTGACAGCTACCGATAAATGAAGGTCATATGATGGCATGGCAACTCGGATGTACAGGAGTTTTCTTGATGGCAAAATTATGGTTCTTTGTAAATTTAAAAATGTAGTTGATTTAAAAATTAATGATATAAAGCTTTTTTTATTTATTTTTAGGAAAAAAAAAGGAATGAGACAAAAAGTGATAATTGAATCTAATGGTGTCTTTTTGGGAGTCGACGTCTGATGACCGCGAAGCGTCTTGTTTATGTAATTGACGGGTGCCGGAGGACGAATGAAAGACGACCTCTAAGGTGTTCTTGCAGTTTGTTTTTGCTGCTACTACAATGCGGAGTCATCGAGGTGAGTCGAAGAAGATCTGCGCGTTGGTGTTTGGTGAGTATTTATTGAATTAAAATGTGTTTAGTACCTAGGTGGGATTAACAAATACTAGACTTAAAAAAACAATTTTACAGGATGTTAACTTTTAATATTTCTTTGTATTTTATGATTTTTTTTTACTTGTTCAATGCCATTTAAAATTAATCATATTTCAATATTAAAATTGAAAGAATTAAAATCAAGTTTCAATGATTTTGTATTTTGCAGGACGAAATATCATGATGAACTTGATAAAATCTATACCAAGTTAGCGCATAATTAAATAGGATTTTGCATGTATAGTATTTTAATTGTAATAAGAAAACCTCAGCATCGAGTTTGACGAACAACATATAATATTATTCAAAATGTATCCTTGGTCAATGTGAAAGTGGAAATGCCCGATTCGAAAGTATACGAAAATAATACAAAAATGCCCTTTTTAGGTGGTCATAATTTGTAATCTATGTAGTCGATCAGCAAGTTTAACATAGTTTCTTCTTTCGGAATCACAAAATGCGCGATATCAATTCTTTCCCGTTAACCTTGTACAGCCCTCAGGATAACACCAACTTCGGTTTTCCGAAAATCTAACCACAATAAGAAAAAATTGATTTAGTTAATCTAAATTAAGCACGGAATTCGGAACATTTTACAAAGAGAAGTTTACTGAACTTGTAGCAAATTTTATTTTTAACAATATTGTCCTTTTACTCTTTTGCTCTCAGATGCATAAATATCGAGAAAAAATCGAATTGGTGAAAATTAGATGAAATTGTGGATTTATATCTTGTAGTAGAGGGATGTAGTATGGGATTCGAAACGTTTTAAAAAAAAGTTTTAGTAGTATAAAAGTTGTAGCATCTTCTGTAGCAACTTCATTTTTAACAATATTGCTCTTTTACACTTTTGCTTTCTTCTTCTTCTTTGAAATGAAATAGATTTTTTTTCGTGGAAAGTGTATTTTAGACTGTCTACAATAAGAATTCATTGAACAGAAAAAATTTGAGAGTGTTTTTCTGTCTGATAACTTTATTTTTATAACACACCTACTGGTCGAGAATTTCAAGCGACCTGTAACCTCTTTGTGTTTCCTTTATACTCGATACATATCTATGTATTTTGACCTTACTGTTAACAAAAGTTAAAATGCATAAAAAGTAACAGTAATTAACTTTTAACTTTTTACAGTAATTATTTTCTTGTCTCCGAGATGGCATACCCCCTTAAGATGTCTTGTTTTTTGTGCTTTATCAGGCCTGTTAGGATGCTGAAGTTTAGTATTAATACCATGTTTTCGACGCTCGTCCGACAGATCTCCTCTAACTCGGTCTCTCACTCTTGGCCCATTTCGCCCAACACTCATCGTCCATCCTGTCCACGTGCAAGGTTTATATATTAAAGGTTGTCTAAGTTCCTATGCTGCAATACTTTGATTTTAGTTTGTGGGCGAGGGGCTAGAGCAGGAGTGTTTCGTGACGTAAGTGATCACGGATTGCGCACGCAACCTCATGGCCATGTGGTGCTCCATGCATTTGTTTAATTTGAATTGCTTGACGGTATTTTTTCCACATGTGACGTAATGCGCAGTATGGTTGCGTACGAACCTAGACAACCTTTTATATATTGGTCCACGTGGTCTCTCTGCCATCTGCGCCTCGCACGCACAATCGTACCACATCAGCTAGCCTAAGTTCATCCTGAGCTTCTTATTTGATCTCTAAGGGTTACTCGTTTAATCATCTTTCGCGTTCTCATTTCGGTGGCTCTTAGCATCTTAGCATGCTCATGGTTTTTGACATATCCGCCCTAATTTCCGATGCATAAGTCGGACCGGTCTCACTGCCGTTTTTGTTATTGCTGTTCCTCTACACGATGTTTCTTAGATATCCAAATGTTCTGAAATCTTTGTTGACTTGCGCCCTAACTTGATGCAAATTTCTTCAGCAACAGATCAACGCAAAGGTACCTACAGTGCAGGTTCTGCCTAATGGAGCGACCATTCACAGCCAATTTGCTCCTGACAGGCTCTTTCGATATCATTATTGCCTCTCAGTATTCGGATATCTCCATGCGCAGTCCTTTCGCTGTAGTTTCGAACCAGTATAGCATGACATTTTCAAGGATTTGTCCCATGATGTATCCGCCCTTGACTTTGTTGACTACTACTACTATTGTCTTGTCATCAATGTTATGATGGCGATTCAGGTGAATCATAGGCTGTTATAGATATGTTTCCATCGGCCACATATACAGGCTGTCCCGAAACTCAACGTCAAGCGGACACCGGGTGAGAGGCCAACTCATACCTGTTCTGGTAAAAATAAGAAAAAAATTCCATGTCTATTAGTTAAGTTAAGTGGTAATAGACATATTTTTGAAAATATTATAATCGTTGCCGTACATCATATCTTTAGGTAATACGGTCAGAAATCTTCGCAATTTAATAGTGATTTTTTAATAATGTATTCCTTATGAACCATGCTACTATAGAAGTCACAAATCAATCAACAAAAGTCGTTAGTTTTGCAAAAAAAATATTAGTTTGATTGAGTTAACGTTGAAAGAATTTATGTCTATTAAGTTTAACACACGATTTTTAAAAAAAGGAGTAGTACAACACCTTGATTGTGCGTATATACACAATTGATATAGATTGAGCGTCTTGGTTCGATTGTGTGGCCTTCTCATTCTCTGGGCCTAAATCCCCTTGATTTTTTTGTTAGGATTCCATAAAAGAAACAGTGTATTAAAAACCGATTGAAAATCTTGCCGAACTGCGCCACGATATTTATACGTATTTATTTGTATGTATTATATAGAGATTTGCACAACTGTAAAAAGATCTTTTCTGCGACGATGCAGAGCTTGTATTAGTGCCGACGGCAAACAATTTGAGCATTTGCTTTAGTTTTACGAAAATAATGCAATAAAATTAATGCAACAAATCAATTAATAATTCGTTTTGTTTAATTTTGTTTTATTTTATCGTAGATATTGAGTGGCACATCTTCTAACAAAGTTAAGAGCAAATAAAGAGTAAATACAAATAGCATACGAAAGTATGAATTGTTTAAATAACATGTTTTTTACAGAAAAACAAGCATTACTATTTTTTGAATTTTTTGAAGAAAGTGTTGTACCATTTTAGAAACTTGACTAAACAGGCCATCTTTTAAAATTACTTGCCAAGGGTGTTGTACTACTCCTTTTTTTAGAAATCGTGTGTCAAACTTAATAGACATAAATTCTTTTAACCTTAACTCGATCAAACTAATTTTTTTTTTCGGAAAACTAATAACTTTTGTTGTTTGATTCCATGTNTTGTCCCATGATGTATTTGCCCTTGATTTTGTTGACTACTACTACTATTGTCTTGTCATCAATGTTATGATGTCGATTCAGGTGAATCATAGGCTGTTATAGATATGTTTCCATCGGCCACATATACAGGCTGTCCCGAAACTCAACGTCAAGCGGGCACCGGGTGAGAGGTCAACCCATACCTGTTCTGGTAGAAGTAAGAAAAAAATTCCATGTCTATTAGTTAAGTGGTAATAGACATATTTTTGAAAATGTTATAATCGTTGCCGTACATCATATCTTTAGGTACTACTAACTAGTAAAAAGATCTTTTCTGCGACGATGCAGAGCATGTATTAGTGCCGACGGCAAACAATTTGAGCATTTGCTTTAGTTTTACGAAATAATGCAATAAAGTTAATAACAAATAAATTAATAATTCCTTTTGTTTAATTTTGTTTCATTTTATCGTAGATATTGAGTGGCACATCTTCTAACAAAGTTAAGAGCAAATAAAGAGTAAATACAAATAGCATACATAAGTATGAATTGTTTAAATAACGTGTTTTTTGCAGAAAAACAAGCATTACTATTTTTTATAAATAGAAAAATGGCAAGTGTTGTACCATTTTAGAAACGACTAAACAGGCTATCTTTTAAAATTACTTGCCAAGGGTGTTGTATTACTCCTTTTTTTAGAAATCGTGTATCAAACTTAATAGACATAAATTCTTTTAACCTTAACTCGATCAAACTAATTTTTTTTTTCGGAAAACTAATAACTTTTGTTGTTTGATTCCATGTAGGATTCCATTATTAAAAAAAATCACTTTTCAATCGCGAACATTTCTGACCCTAGTAGCTAAAGATATGATGTACGGGAACAATTTTTATCATTTTCAATAATATGTGTATTGCCACTGAACTAAGAGAGATAGAATTTTTTGCTTATTTTTACCAGAATAGATATGGGTTGGCCTCTCGCCCGGTACCTGCTTGATGTTGAATTTCGGAACAGCCTGTATATCATCGGGTACATGTATCTCCAGGACATTAATTTCACGCGCGGCGGTACTTCACATGCAAATTATATACAGTATGTCCATAAAGTAACGGATATAGGCGATAAAATTATAATAAATGGTTTATGGAAAAATCCCTGAAACGGGTTTACAAATTTTAATTTTTTGCAATTTTTTGGTGTAGATTTCAAATTTGTCCGCCATTTTTAAACGAGTTATGACGCCATTGATATTTTTTTCAAATGGCAATCCCTCATTTTTATTAGGGAATA